AGCACTTCCCATGGGGTGGACGCATCAAGAAAGATAAACCCAGAGAAGCTGGTGGCCGGGTGGAGTGGGGCTTGGATAGGGTTCATGAAGGTTCAGGGGAGACATTACTGTCTTGTGACTGTCTTCTGGTCTCCGATGGGCTGTGCCAAAGCATCAGAGTTTGGGAACACTCAGCATCCTGTTTATATTGAGGTAGGGGCAGGAAGCAGAGTAGTAGGGGGCAGATTGGACTTTTGTTTGGTTGAAAGAGGGAGCCCCAGAGGTGGAAGCTGGACTCAGTTAAGGCAGAGCTTCCTAAGGCCCCTGGGCAGTCAGCGGGAGAATGGGCTGCCTTGTAAGGTAGTGAGCTCCTCGTCCTGGGGGGAGTTCTGACAGAGGCTGGAGAAGGGCTTGGAAGGGTTCCTGTGCTGGGCTGTGGTTAGAGGTGATGACCTGGAAGGTCTCTTGGGACTCTGAGGGCCTGGGATTCTTGGAGCTGGGGAATTCTCTAGCACCAGAATGGGGGATCAGGAAGCTGTGGCCTCTGGCCTGGGGCGTGGGCACAGAGAGGACTCACAGGGTCCCCTTCCTCCCGCCCATGTTTGGAGAACGGAGAGCTTGACTCTCTGCCCTGGCACTGTGTGCCACCCACAGCTGCCCACCAGGTCTGCCCCAGCTGCTTCCTGCAGAGGTCCTTAGGTTCTTCCTATTCCTCTGGGCCCACTCTGCGCCTGGCCCAGCTGGTTAACCCCTCGAGGCCTGGAGCACACCCGTGGGCTGTGTGGCACAGTGGAAGGGACATCCAGCACCACAGCCCTTGCCCCCACTTGCAGTTGGAGCCCCTGCCCCTGCCGTGGCCTCCAGGGCCCGTGTGCATGGCCCAGGGGTGGCTGCTCCCTGTTGGGCAGCTTGAGCCTCTGCCGAGTTTGTCCTCCCCTACAGGGGCCTCCCCAGCCAGCCTGGAGATGGTCAGCAGAGGACAGTGCCAGGATCTGAGGTGCAGAAAACCCTGGGGCGGGTCTCACCTGACCCTCAGTTTCCACATTTGTAAATAATGCAGGGTTGTCGGGGCAGCTTGAAGTGGTTTGTGTAACTAGCACGGTGGGGGCGGGTACAAGCCAAGGCAGTTGTTCTCAAGGGCCTCTCAGGAGCTGGGAGCCGGTCACCTCTCCAAACCTGTTTTCCCTGTGGTGGGCAGTGAGAGGAGCGGAGGGTGGGGGTGGGGCCAGAGAGTTCCCAAACCCAGATGCAGGCAGGTTTGGGCTTCCTGTGATGGAATGTCCATGTGGGCTTCTGGGGTGGGCTTACGACCCACCCTGGGCTCCATCCTTCCTACCTCCCCTGCAGCCTCTCCTCTGCGGATGCCCTGAGCAGAGAGGATGGAGCGGGAGGCGGAGGTCGCCCCACTCAACCCCCCCACCTCCGGTCAGGGCAGCCCCTTTTGCAGTCCTGGCTTTGTCTGACAGAGGGTCCTTTCCAATCCTAGCGTCAGGCCCTGTCTCCAGTCCGGGACTAGATGAAGTGCTTAATTAGGGCACTCTTCTCAGGGGTTTGAAAGAGACCCAGTGACGGAGGGAGGGGTGTGTGGGGAAGGAACGGGAGACCTGAGTGTGCGGGGGTGCTGTGAGCCTGGAGCAGCCGGGGTGGGAACTGGGTGGCCGGCAAAGCTCTTGGCTGCAAGTGGTTCTGGCTCGTGGCTTATTTCTGGGGCCATGAGTCTCTTTGGCCCCAGAAAGGAAACTAAGGCCCAGTGAGGGATGGGTTTGGGGGGGTGGGGGTGCATAGGAGACAGGCGGTAAAGCCATCCCAGTTACTGGACTGTGAAGAAAGCACATCAGAAGTGGGTGTGCAGTAGGGGAGGGAGAGGGTGGTTTTTTGAGAATGGAGAGGACTGTCCTAGACTTTGTCCCCAGCACTGTCCCCTGATGGCCTCTGGCTTGGTGGCTCCCTCACTGGCTGGCTCTTAGCTATCCAGGGCTATTAGGCATGCAGAGGTGTGGGCACAAGTGAGCTGGAACAAGGGGCGGGGTGGCAGGGGGGCCTCCCTGAGTGCCCCCTCCATTATGCAAGGTCATACCTGGCCCTCGTCCCCTTCCTTCTCTCCAGTCGCCTGAAGCACTTTCCCATCCCCAAGGAGGAGGCCGCAGGAGGCTAGAGACCCCCAGTGCAGCTGGGTCCCTGGCCTGCCTCAACCCAGGCTGGTGGCCTTGGCCATCTTTCTACTTGCCCCCACCTCACTGTCCTTCGAGGAGGGAGGCTGGTCTGTGTGGAGTGGGAACCCGTATGGGAGGGGTGGTAGGTGGGCCCGGGCCAGTCCCTGGCACTGCCTCCTCCAGGGCTAGTCTGGGCTCTGTAATCCCTGCCTTTTTAGGGCTGGGAGCCTGCAACTCAGGGCTGGGTGTGGGAGGCAGGGGGGACCAGCCCAGAAGGGCGGCGTCTGGGGGAGCTGGAGGGGGATGAGTGATCGGAGGAGTGCCTGGGTGGAATCCAGGCCCTTCTGCCACTATGGGGGTCCCAGTCCTGGGGCCGGTTCCCCCAGGGACCCTCCTCGGCCTTCTCCGGCAGAGATTGTGGAACCCCTTAGTGTTCTCTGATCCTTGCAAGTTTCCTGTGGGCTCACCTGTCTTTTAGCTCCTTGAGGGCAGGCCTGCATCTTTTGCCTCCCTGGCGATCCTTGCTGTGCCTGGCAGAGTGCTGCTCAACACAGGTGACTGACTCCTGGGGAGCCGACGGGCGAGGGTTTTTGACAGGGCCTGGTGAGCATTTGTGATACTCGGATACGGGGCTGTGCTCGCCGAGAGGTCCATGGCAAGGCAGAGAATGCGAGTCTGGAGCCAGACAGCTGGGGCTCAGCTCATGACAACCCCGTTTATCAGCTGTGTGGTCTTGGCAAGTGGCTGGATCTCTGCGAACCTCAGTTTCCCCACTGTAAAATGGGATAGTAGTACCTGCTTTGTGGTGTGGTTGTGAGGATCAAATGAGTTTATTCGTTTAAAGCACTCTGAGCAGTGCACGTAGTACATGCTCAATCAAGGTTAGCAATTGTCATCATTACTGGTGGTGTTGGTGGCCTTCTTCCAGGACCCCAACTGTTGGTTGACTCCTCTCTCTTGTTGTGGTTGCCCCATCCCCAAGATGGGGAGAATTATGGGACCAGAGAGTGGAGGAGATCTTGGCATCATGTTCCCTTAAGGCTTCTAGTGTCAGATCCCAGAGAAGAGTCTTCCTTTCCCCCACTGTCTCTCTTTCTCTGTGATTAGGGGCAGGCGAGGAGCTAGAGGCCTTGTCTGCCCAGGGAGCTGATGCAGAGCTGTGTTTATGGAGGGCTCTGAGAAAGTTGCCATCACCGTAAACAAGATGTGTTATTATAAACCAGCCCAAGCTCCCTTTCTTGGATCCCATCCCATCATGGATGACAGTCACATCATTGGAGACTCCTAGGCCTGGCAAAGACCTGGCCTGGCCTCCAGGCAGGCTACCCTGGACCTTGGGCTATGTCCATAGAGGGGGCACCTACATTTTAAAGTAGGATCCCCAAATAACTGCTGCAAATTATTGTCTTATACCCTCTAGGTCTCCTTGAAATTTAACTCGCATTCCTCTTGCTGTAACTTTAGTTCAGTCCCTTGTTGGTAGGGGTTAGGGGAGAACCGTGTCCAGCCCTTCCTGCATGCCATATAAGCTGAGAGCTTTGAACCCGTGGTAGGGTAGGGCTCCTGGCCACACTCCCTCTCCATCCTAGGCCTCTGCCCTCTCTGGGGTCCTCCGTTTTCCGGTGCCCCTGACATTCCTCATTAGTAGGGGTCAGCCCACAAGGCCTGCCAAGCTGTACTCTCCACCCAGCCGGGTTCCCACCCAGGGAGGCTGGGGTTGCTCTGGGTTGGGGGTGAGCTCCATTTCCGGATCCCTGGCCCTCCCAGTTGCAGCTGCAAAAGGCATTAAGCTGTTTTTTTTGGAGAAAGAATGGGCTTGGGTTGATGATGATGACAGCTGGAGAGGTTCCTGAGCTCAGCCTGGCCCTATCTCGCTTCCCCTCCTTGGCCCCTCCTGCTCACCTCTGCCCCGTTTCTAGGCCATTGCTCATCTAGAGGTGGGCCTCACCTTTGGCCCTTGACCTTGACCAGACCTGGGCAATTAGCTGGTCTGCAACCACTTTATGGGAGCAGCCTGGGGGTTCAGTACTGGGCTTAGTGCTGGCATGGGGGTGAGGTGGGGCCGATGGCTTCAAGGGAGTGTAAGGGAGGGTCTCTGCCCTGGGGGTTCCTGTGTTTGGCCGGTGGGAGAGTAGTGCTCCTCAAGCGGACAGATCTCAGTCTGTCCCTGGCTCTGTCCCTCGACTCTGGATGAGTCCCGTCTGAGTCCCTTCCCTCACTGGGCCTCAGCGTCCCCACCTGTGAAGTGAAGGGCTGGAGGGGTGCTGGGCTGGAGGGTCTGTGAGTCCACCTCCCTTGGTCCTGCCCTGGTCCCAGGCTGCAGAACTTCACCTTGGATTGACCTTGCTTCCCTCCCTGCCCCACCCCCACCTCTGGCAGTCGCTGGCAGGAAGTCCTGCTGATTAGGGCCCTAATCACCGGCTGAGACTCCCAGAAACAGCAGAGCTGGTTGAGTGAGAGGGGCCGCCAAGCCAGGAAGGGGGGCTGGCATGGGGAGAAGCCTCCACTCAGGGATGTGAGCTGGGCTGTCGGGCTGTGACGGGGGGCACTTGATGCCTGCCTGTGATTGGGGTGGCAGAGGTGGGCTGGCCCCAGGGCTTGGCCCCAGGGCTTGGCAGTGCCCATGCACCCACTGTGGAGGCTGTGAGGCGGCAGCTGCTCCAGCTGGGCACTGGGGCCTCCTGATTGTTCACTTTAGAAGCCTTTTAGGGCACCCACCCTGTGCCAGGCAAGGTGCCAGGTATGGAGCTGGAAAGGCCAGGGAGACAGTCCAGTGGGAGACAAAGGGGAGTAGACAGAGTGTTTCTGCAAAATGCAGCCGGAATGTCAAGCAGGAAGCAGTTCACGTGAGCTGGAGGAGTGGAGAAGGCTTCAGAGAAGAGGTGCCATTGAGATGTGTTTTAAAGGTTGAGAAGGAGTTTTGCAGGGGGTGGGGGTGGCGTAGGGACAAAGAGCTCTTCAGGACAGGGGAAGGCATGCGCAGAGGCGCAGCGGTGTGTGGGTAAGCATGGATAAAGTAATGGCTCCAGCCCTGCGTTAGAGTCAGACAAGCTTGGGTCTCCCTCCCAGCTCTGCTGCCTGTCAGCAGTGGGACATCGGTCTGCATCTGTAAAATGGGGTTAACATTCCAATCCCGTAGTGTTATGGTAGGGATGAGACGAGACACCATTTGTGAAGCTCTGAGCAGTGCCTGGCACAGAGCAAGCCCACAGTATATAGTGGCTTGAAAATGGCATGTGTGGGAAAGGGTGGCTTCAGGGACAGCTTGGAGGTGTTGCTTGGGGCCTGGGGCTGGGGGATTTTCTGGGCTAGGCTAAAGAGGGGAGCAGCGGAGGGTTTTAATATAGAAGAAACATGATTTAGGAAAGACATTTGGGAAGCTGTGAAGGTTATACTGGGACAGGCCACAACTTAGGACCTGGGTCCCTAGAGTCCTGTGTTCAAATTCCTCAGCGCTGGGCCTGGGAAATCCTCTCTCAAGTCACTTCATCTCTCTGATCTCTCTGGGCTTCCTGCCCCCGTGCTGTCTTCCCTTCTCGGATCAGGTGGCCAAGGAGGCCCTGAACTCTCCTTCCCAGGAGAACTTTCACTCCAGGAGAGAGCCCTGCTTGGCAGGGCATCACACAATATGAGCTGCAGCAGGCAGGAGAGAGGGTAGACTGCAGGCAGCTTATATTTCTAAGACCCCAGGAGGCTCCTTTCGGGGGCCTCCTTTATCGTCTGGCCCGGCACACAGTAGGCCCTCACAGTTTGTTGAATGAATAGATGAATGGGGCTGTCCCCTAGTCATCGGGGAGGAGCCCATCTGCTGACTGCAAGTGGCCTGGTGAGCGTGGAGACAGGGGAGGAGTGTTGAGTGTCTCCAAGGCCAGGTGCCTGGCATGTCGCAGGTGCTCGGGGACTGGGATGATGAAGGAGCGGGGATTTCAGAGCTTAGAGCAAGGGCCTACCATGAGGCAGTGTGGCGTGGGGGTCCAGTTCACAGACTCTGTAGCCGCACCGGCTAGGTTGGAATCCTGACCCTGCCTTACAGGCTGTGTGGCTGTGGAATACTGACCGAACCTCCAGAGCTCCCCTTTGCTCATCCTCAAACGTGGACACAGATTTGGGTCTGGCGTGCAGGCCGTGCTGTGCAACCCCCGGGTATCGCTGTTGCTGTTGCTGTCGTTACTGTTACGCAGCAGGGGAGAGAGTGGGGCCAGGGACAGGGCCTTCTTGGCTGGAATGAGCACAGCTGCCCAGAGAGGGCAGGGAGAGCTCAAGAGATATCTGTGGCTCCTCTGAGGGCTCAGCAGGAATCCGTCCGTGGCTCACGAGCGGCCTCCACCACCACACATGTGGCTGCCTCTGCTGTGGCTGGCTGAGCAGGGCTGAACCGAGCGTGGGAGCGGAGGCAGTGGCCAGGCCTGGATTCCAGGCTGCAGCCCTGGGAGAGCTGGGGCGAGCCACGGTGAGGTTTGGGGGCCGGGGGAGGAGAGGTGAGTGGAGAGGAGGCCAGGACTCTCCCAAGTCCCCAGCTGGGACCCCAGGAATTCCTGCCTTTGTTTCCTGCCAGAGGGCCTGGCCTTTCAGCTCCAGAGCCTCCGGAGGTCCTGGGGTCTGTCTCCCTGCCTCCCGGGCAGACTATTCTTAGCCTGTGGCCAGGAGCCTGATACCCCTTCCCTGTTAGAACGAGCTACTCCCTGGCTACAACTCCTTCCTCCCTCCTCATCTTGCCTTCAGATCTCCTGTTCCCAGCGTTCCGGACAAGCAGTTGCTTTGCGAGAGGAGGGAGTGAGAGTCGACTTCAGGGGCTTGCCCTGACACGGGGCAGAGGGAGGGGACTGTGTAGTGCAGTGGAAGGACCCATGGCAAGGGAGTCAGGTGGCCTGCTAGTCTGCCTCTGGCACTGTGTGACTTCAGGCAAATGACTTCCCCCTTCTGGGCTTCAGTTTCCCTCCTTTGTGAAACAAGATGTTGGCATTAGGAGACTTCTCTCTTTCCAGCAGTGCTGAAGCTTTGCAAGTCTGTGGAGCTTCCTGAACAGAGAGGCTCCCACTCTTGGGGCCTTTAGAAGAGCCGTCCAGCATGGAGGTGGGGGACCTGTAGGCTCTTCAGGCATCTGCTGGGATTCCAGCTGAGATTCTGGGAAGGTCCCTCTAGCCCTGGACCGGAACATTCTTTGCCCAGTGACCACTCCTCCAGGGCTTGGTTTCTTGGAACAGAGCAGAGGGCAACAGCTGTCAGGGCCGAGCCGGCCAGAATCTCCCCACGTCTGTCCTAGTGACTCAGGTGGGGATGTGCTGGCAGGATTGGAGCTGGCGGAGTGAGTGAGGAGACTGGTCAGATCTGCTGGCTCCCGCCGGCCACCCGAGGGAACAGAGTGGGAGGAAGCGATGTGCTGGGGGCCGGGTGCAGAGGCAAAGTGAGTAACAGTTGTGAGTAATGGCTCAGTGTCTCTGCTGGGTAGGTGGCTCCTAGACCGTGCACAGCTGTCTGGGCTCCGGAAATACTCCCCGGAGGCCCAGCCACTGAGTCACAGCAGCCCGAGCTCCCCTGTCGCTGTCCTGCCTAGGGGCTGGGGGTCCAGGCTGGCAGGGGCCCCTCGGCCTCTCTGCTTGCCTCTGCAGCTGCCCTCCCACCATCTCTGCCCTCACAGCTCCCAGGCCCATGATGGCTCTGCCTTGTCCTCTAGCATCCGGGCCACTTGGCGCGCCTGAAGGAGTGTCGAATTTGCAGTCTGGCTGTCCTGGGTTCGAGTCCCAGCTCAAGCACTCAGAGCTGTGTGACCTTGGCCGGCTGCTTCTCCTCTCTAAGTTTCAGAAGCCTTGTATGGAAAAAGGGGATGGTTTTGCTTCTTGTACCTAGTGTCAAAAGTATTAAATGGAATTATGTGTCCGAAATTCATGTGTGTTGTATGTGTTCATGTAGTATGGTTGTCCCACAAGCCCTAAAGTCTGTTTTGCCCCTCCTCACCACCTCCACCCCAAAAATTCATGCTCCCCATGCTTCCATGCCATAATATTCAGGGGGTTCATTCTCCTCTCAGCTGCACTCTGTCATTCGTGCACCCGCCCCTCCTTTTCTGATGCCTTCTCTCCAGCTCCTGCCAGTGTGCCTATCCCTTCCCGCTGTCCCAGAAGCTAGGGGGGCTCAGGTGGGGCAGGCAATCCAAGGGGAATTCGCCCTTGCCCAGGCTGCAGTGGGTGCTTCGAAAGAAATGCAGAGATCTGGGGGTGCTTCAGGGGCCTGGGGCTGCTCCTGTACCCCCACCTCTGCTGGCCCCTGCTCCTCTCCCCCAGTCCTTCCCCAATCTGGCTTCCTGCAGTCAGCTGTGCTCAGGGCCACACAGACTGCCCCTGCCTGTGGGTGTGTTGGTGTGCTGGTGTGTTTCTGTCTGAGCTGCTCGGGGTGGGGCCGGAGCACCAGGGAGTGACTTTGCATCTGGGTCTGGCCGTGGTCTGGCGTGTGCACTGTGTGTGCCTCAGGGTGTTCTGAGCCGTGTGTACTTGGCTGCAGCGTCTGGGTCACCGGGTCTCTCTCCGATGCGAGCTTTCTCTTCTGTCCATTCGAAATCTGCCCGTGTTTTCCGAGGTCTTCCGCTGCCCCTCCCTTCGCCCTCCCCCATCTCCCTCCAGACCCGGTTTCGGATGCGTGCATCTCTGAGGTCTGCCAGGGAACAAGGAAACATTGCAGGGGGGTGGATATGCGTCAGATGGAGCCGAACAATGCCGGTGACAGCCAGGCCTCCTCTGGCCTTCGGTGCTGGCCTGGCGTCAAGTCTCTGCTGCCAGCTAATTGGGAGTGTGAGGGGGCTTCCTGCAACGTGGCCACAGATGGATTTCAAGGAGCAACAGGGAGCTGGGCTGCCCTGCCCTCCGGCCTCCTGCTTCCGGAGGCTCCCGGTGCAGCCTGGTCCGTGGAACAGATGGGGTTCCAGAACACCAGCCCCTGACGTGTGCTAACTGTGCAGAACAGTTACACTAACTCCTCCTGTCGCTGCCTCTATGGCCGACTGTGGCCAGGACTTTTCCACACGGGTGAATTTTCAGATAACTGAAACTTAAGCCGTGGGAGAGTTGACAGCTCAGAAAAAGGGGGGATGTTTTTTGATAGGAATCGCTCGCCTTGTACAGTGTCCCAAGCTTGCTTTGACTTACAGTAGATGGGATCTTAAAAAATCACTTCCTTGCTCTCCTTCTGCCATTTCTTCTTCTGTAAAATGGGGATGAGAACTGAACCCCCTTCACAGGGTTGAGGTGAGGACTAAATGGGTCGAGATGCATAAAATGCTTGGAGTTGAGCCATAGCAAACGCTGCGCAAGTTACTGTACGCGCAGGCACAGAGAGGCGCCGTGGTTGCCTCCGGGCTGAAATAGAGGGGAACGGATGTTTACCAAGCACGTTCTGTGTTCCGGACATGTTTACTGATGCCTGTCATCAGCTTTATGTAGTACTCCCAGCCATTTGCAAGGTAGGGTTCCTAGCCCCCATTTTACAGATGAGGAAACCGAGACTCAGGGAGGTTGAATAAGGTCTCCACAGCTGGTCTGTGGCAAATCTGGCGTTCGAGCCCATACCTGACTCATTCCAGTGCGTTTTCTCTCCCTCCTCTTGCCCTTTAGTTGGAAATTCAGGGCCTCTTGGTGTGTTTAGGAATTTGGAAATGAGGAGCTGCAAACAGAAGGTGATAGATCTTACAGAGCTGGATCTGCGCCCAGCTACCGGATTTTGGTTCGGTGCAAAGCTGTCTGGAGTCAGTGATGAGACAGGATGACCTTTGGCGGGGGTCCAGGGAACATAAACGCCATAAATAGGCTTTGAAGATATGGAATTTTCTTCTGAACAATACGTAGTTGAGTTTGCTGTCCACCTGTTTCTTCTTCGGGCAAGCCTTAAATTC